TATATATTACCAAGAGGAAGCGTATATCTTGTCTGGCGTGGAGGACCTTTTTCACTCCAATAGAGGAGATGAGATGTCCTCTGGTCTGAATAAAATAATTATTTTCTTGTTTTTTTCTGCATTGTTTGTTAGTTTTTCTTGCAATTACCTCTAAGGGGTGCCCGCAGTCGCTCTCTATTAGCCCGGAACCTGAAGGAGATGTGCATACAGTGCATGCAGCAGAAAGAGCGCTAGTATTATTTCAATATAAACAGTACTTGTTTTTTCTTGAAGTTTAATAGGGCCCCTAATGATGCATTTCGCGGAGCTGGTGATGCGCAGCTCCTCCCTAGGAACCTCTAATTGTTGTGTAAGTGCTGCAACCGCTGAGTCAATAGCTCTTTGAGATGAAGCTACATCAGTGTTGGAGTAGTAGATTTCGCGTAAAGTTGAATAGCTGTTCTCTGCATGCAGCTTCACTACGCTGTGCAGAACTGCACATACACTCGCCGTGCGCCCAATGGTATGCTGGGAAAGCAGAGGTAATAACTCCGGAACAGAAGAATTCGAGCTTAAATTCAATTCATCTTTCGAATTAACTGTCTCCTCAGACACAGGAAATGACGGAGATCCGCAGTTTCCCTTAGTTTCATCGATAGAAAGACGGCGCAAGAACAGCAAAACTGAGGCCTCGATCTTATGAATGATCGCTGCTGATGGAGTGCTGGAAGCTGCGTGCAGGCTGAAATAATGTTTATTTTCCATTTTATTTCGCTAAATATACATTTTTATTGCAATGATGAACGAAAATAGACGCTCCACGCTTCAGAGAGCGCATGGCGAGTCGCTGGTGTATCCAAGCTGCGCATACACCCGAATCAAACGACTGGGCTAAAGCGAATGACGAATATATATGTTATTTAACTCAATAAATTCCGTTTATTTTTAATTGCTTATTATTTTGTAGCTAAGGGAGTGTTGAAACCCCTCATACGAGCTCGTGTCTTGCGTGCATTTCGCCGCTAGATCGGCGGCGTTTTCTTTATTAAGGCGACGAAATCAAACACCTGCTCAGCACTACAGCGGATTACCAACAAAACTAACGCAAATTTAACTCCATAAATCAATAATAAATCAAACTATTCAAGCATTTCCGTCTGAATACCGCGAGGTCTCCCGCCTCTGCTCTCCTAGCCAGACAGGACTGCATGCATGCATGGATCAGCAGTGAAGCTGCTCTTGAGCTTCGTTTTTAGAACAAGTTAGGCAATAACCAGCAGAATTCAACTTAAATAAACCATCCTTTTTTCAAAGAATTAACTCTAAACGGCCAGACCCCGTGCATCTTCTCCGCGCGCTCCAGCTCTCAACTCATCACCAAGAGCCTCCCTGGGCTTGTAAGAGGCCTAAAATGGCATATCGATGCTTAGAATGCAAAGGAGAAGCTGCGGTGTATGTACACCTCAATCTGCTTCCTCCGCGAACGACATTTTAAACCGCGAAACCTCATCCTTGCACCTGCAGCATCTTTCCTGCTGCTGCTGCTGTAGCTGTAGCTGTAGCTGCTCTGTCTTCAGACTAATACTGCCCTTTTGCAGCTGCATTGTTTAATATCAGCAAACTTCTGCTAGGGATACCGCAGAATAAAGCAGCAATACAACTCAACGAATTCACTTCCTGTAGCTGGCTCCGCTTATGCTGCATCTGGGGGGGCCGCCTCGCCGCTGGGTGCTGCTCTGAGTGAACACCCCACAGCGGCGGCAGCAGCAGCAGCAGCAACAGCAGCAGCAGCAGCAGCTGCTGCAGCTGCAGGAGAAGTGGCAGCAGAAAGATGCAGCAGCTGGATCTCCCTCCAGGCGATGCCTCTGCTGAGGGCCTAAAAGCTGCAGAGAAAGAATCAGACAGCAGGAGCAGCAGCAGGAGCAGCAGCAGCAGCAGGAGCAGCAGCAGCAGTAGCAGCAGCAGCAGCAGATCACTAGCGATGAATTCCGGCGGGCTGCGTCCTCGCGGTGGGCAGTTGCCTGCGCCAGCAGCAGCATCAGCAGCAGCAGCAGCAGCAGCTTCTGCTGCTAACCGCAGCTGCAGTATGGGGTCTTCGTCCGAAGATACAGATCGAGGTGTCTGTACACCTGAAGCAGGAGGACGCGTTGCAGATGATGCTGCTGCTGCTGCATCTGCTGCTGCATGCAGTGTGGGGAGACGCTGGGGCTGCGATTCGCTGCATGCATGGGCAGCAGAGCTCTGTCAGCAGCCTGGGGTGTATGCGCAGCTCTTTTTGCTGCTTCGTTCATCTCAAACTGAGCTTGCTGCTCTCTGCATGCAGCAGCTGCAGCCCCGTCGCTTCGCAGACATCAGAGACGCTTCTGGCTATACTCTGCTGCACTGGGCTGCTCTTTGTAACGAACGCAGCATCATGAAGCTCCTCATAGAAGCAGGTAAGCAGCAACAGCAGCAGCAAGAGCAGCAGCAGCAGAAGCAGCAGCAGCAGCAACGGCAGCAGCAAGATTGTGGCTTAGAACCAGCATGAAGTGTTTGCTGCGATTTAAATGTATAGGATAGATGCAGTATTCGCTCCTGTGCTTCTGCTGCAGTTCAGCAGCAGCAGCAGCAACAGCAGCAGCAGCAAGATGTGCTGGATCCGCTTGCCTTTGTTTGCTGTCAACCGAACAAATCACGAAATAAACAAACACAAACCCCGCCAATCATAACCCCGTATCCCCCCTTGCTGCTGCTGCTGCTGCTGCTGCTGCTGTTGCTGCTGTTGCTGCTGCTGCTACTGCTGCTGCTGTTGCAGGTGCTGACGTAAACGCTAGAGCGAGTGAAACGAAGCAAACACCGCTGATGTGGGCGGTAACGAAAGACAATGCTGCTGCAGCACGTTTGCTGCTGCAGCACGGCGCAGCTTTATATGAGCACCAGCTAACCTCCAGCAGCAGCAGCAGCAGCAGGAGCAGGAGGATAAGTGAGGGATTGCATGCAGAGCCCCTGTGCGACTCACAAGGAGAGCGTTTGCTGCTGCTAGACTCTAAAGGAGCCACGTGCTGCACTTTAGCTGCGCAGCACAACTCACCAAAGTGTTTGCTGCTGCTGACGAAGCTGCTCGGGCCTGCAGCACTCGCTGTCCCTGATGCAAGCGGGTCAACGCCCGCGCACTGGGCAGCTTATAAGGTAAGCATCCTTGCTGCTGCTGCTGCTGCTCCTGCTGTTGTTGTTGTTGTTGCTGCTGCTGTGGTTGCTGTTGTTGCTGCTGCTGTTGTTGCTGCTGCTTCTGCTGCTGTTGGTGCTACTATTTCTGTTGTTCTTGCTGTCGCTGCTTCTGCTGCTGCTGCTGCTGCTGCTGCAGCAGAATAGGAGCAACAGCAAGAATGTTGCACCAAGAGCAAGCGTAGCAGCAGCAGCAGCAGCAACAGCAGCAACAAAACAACGGAAACAGCAGCAGTGCCGCAGCAGTAGCAGCAGCAGGAGAGAAACAGGACTGCAGACACAGCAGCAACAGCAGCAGCAGCAGCAACAGCAGCAGCATAGCAGGAACAGCAGCAGCACCAAATACACTCTGTCTATCGGCTCTATCGCCCGTTGTTGTTGCAGCACTTGCTGCTGTTTCAATTTCTACTTTTGCATTTGCTTCTGCTTGTGTTGCTGCTGCTGCTGCTGCTGCTCAGGGGCACACGCTGGTGCTGCGTTTGCTGCTGTACTTCAACGTAGATGTAACAGCTGTTGATTTGTTTGGCTGTCTCCCTCTACACCGCGCAGCAGAAGGGGGACACCTAGAAGCCTTTCGGTGAGGGTTTAGGGTTTAGGGTTTAGGGTTTATTAGGGTTTATTAGGGTATATTAGGGTATATTAGGGTATATTAGGGTTTAGGGTTTAGGGTTTAGGTGGCTGAGTGTTTTCGTTCAAGTCCTCGTCGCACGAGCAGCAGCAACAACAGCAACAGCAACACCAACAGCAGCAGCTGCAGCAACAGCAGCAACAGCAGCAGCTGCAGCAACAGCGGATTCATATTATTTGCATATTGTTGTTTGCTGCTTTATTTGTTTTTTCTGTTTGTTTAATTTGTTTGTTTATTTTATTAATAATTTATTTATTGTTTTATATTAATAATAATATATTTATTTATCTTTTATATTACTTTTATTTATTGTTTGATGTTAATAATAAATAATATATATTAATATTATCAATACTACATATATAGAATAATGTACATTTATATTGATAATACGATTAATACTATAAATAATTTAAATAATTTATATTAATAATAATATATTTATTTATTTATTTATTTATTTATTTATTTATTTATTTATTTTGCTCA